CACTGTGCATTTGACATTGTGCAGCTGGCACTGTGCAGTTGGCATTGTGCAGCTGGCACTGTGCAGGTGGAATTGTGCGGTTGGCATTGTGTAGCTGGCACCGTGCAATTGGATTAGCAAAGCAATGCGATTCCCCACAACAGGGCTGCTGAGGCTGCCCAACCAGGCTGGGCGTGCCCGCCCATCAGCAGAAACCGGGTGACGTGCCTCACCCGGAGTGGATCAGTGGCCTTGCAGACTTTGTCACTACAAGTCCCAGCAGGCACAGACAGGGAGGGAGCCTGAGAACTTCATCGGGACCGCACCTCCAGTTCCCCCACCCTGGACATCAAGACTAAAGTTGGCCCTTGTGGGGTTGTCCCTCCCCCCGCAACTGGGTCAGACTAGATGACCTCCACTAACCCTTCCTTTCCAGATCTTCTCTCATTCTCCTCCTAAGTTACTTCTCTGGCACTTTGCATCAACTTTGGGCCCCAAGTGAGCGTGAAAAAGACCCCGCTCCGCTTCAATGCATCCTGTAAATTGGGTGGTCTTCCGATTCTTCCTGCCACCCCCTCCCCAAATGATTGTTACTCGGGGAGGGCCGGGTTCCTCCTTGGCGTCCACGCAATTTTTTGCAGGCACCACGTGCGTTGGCAGCCGGGCATTGATGCTCCATCAAGGGCGGGTGGGTTTCTACTCGTCCGTGTTTCCCACACTCCCCCCTCCGCGTCGGAACAATAGAAGTGTGCCTTGCCACAATCAGAGGCATTAGTGACAGTGCTTGAACCTCAATGGTGGGTGGGGGGAGCTGCGTTCCCAAAAGACCATCTGGTTAGTAGTTACAAACCCACATGGCCAATTGAAGCCGGGGACTGCTGCTTTGATCTGCCTGCAGCCCCTTTAATGCAGAGTTTCTCAACCTTATCGACTTTAAGATGCGTGGACTTCAACTCCCAGAATTCCCCAGCCAGCTGCTTTAACTCGTCCCACTGATGGATAACCTGTCACTTGTCTAGTTGCTGCTGCTGGACCCTCCCCAAGCATAGGGTCTGATCCAATTCCTTCTCAGTCCCTAGCCCCTTGTCCTTATCCAAGCCCCCATTTTTGGAACCCAGCCTACCTCGCAGGAAGGTTGGGAGCGCTGCTTTCCGAGAGGCTTGGGAGGTGAATGGGTCAAACGCACATCAATGAAGGCTTCTCAGGGGCAGGGGGAGGAGGGTGGCCAACGCCCCCGGAAATTTTTGGTGGAGGAGATCATTTCGGCTGCGTTTCAGACACGCCGTGTAAAATCGGGGTGGGGGATAAAAGGGTCCGAATCAGAAAGTTGGATATTTCTCCGGAACGAATGTTCAACGCTTCGGAAAGTGGTAGATTTAACTTGACAAGGTTTTTAAGCAAATGGCTTGCGTGCCTACCTGTTAGGGGTGCTAAGGCAGCGAGGGCTGTCTTCCCGCAAGGGGATTGGTTTGGATGACCTTTGAGGCATCTCCCGTCCAGCTGCCAGGCCCCTAAGGATGGTTTCAAACATTTTGCCATCAAACATTTCCCATCCCCGGATTTGGAATCTCTGTCGGGGATAACCCTGAGCCAGCTTGGCTTGATCTCCAAAAGCTAAGCAAACCAAGCCCAGTTAGGACTTGGACGGGGAACCACCAGGAAATGCCAGGGCTGAAGGCAAGACTGCAAAGTCGAAAAACACCTTGGAAGAGGACAAGATCAACCCCCTTTTGTATTTCCACTGAGTAAAGCAATCATTCAAACACCACTCTAAGGAAATTCAAATCTTTGCATTCGCCCTAAATTGCTAATTTTCAGGAGGCCCCACTTGGATGAGGATTTAATTGTCGTTCCACACTGTGCCTTCAGAGCGGCCCCATTATTTTCCCAGAATGCCCCAGAGCCTCACAGCTTGTTGTCAAGGGCAATGTGAAATATTACGGTATTATACCCCATGCCGTCGGGAGCCGGGAGGCTGAACCCAGCTCTGAAATTGTCCAGAAAACCACTTCTTAATTTAGGAAACTTGCAAATTTCAACTTTTCACAGCAGCCCTGCGCATGTAAGGGGCACAAGGCAGAGAGATTCAAACTCAGGCTGGACCAAAGAAGGATTCCCCACTGAGATGCTCCCCTGTAGGCTTTGGTCAACTACAACTCCCATAAGGCCCAGCCAACCCAGCTGACAAGTTGCCACGCATTTCACATCAAAGGCCAAGCAGGACCTCCGTTTTCAAAAAACAGGATCTGATCTTACACCCCTTGTAGAGAAATCGCACAGCGATGTCCCCTGCTGCGAGAAAGCAAGGACGAAGCGATTTGGGACCTGAATTTTTCGTTTTCTCTCCAGCTTTTCTCCGCCCTTTGGGAAGCATTTGCTGCTGAACCATTCCCACTGGGAATATTTTTGCTCCTCAGCTTGTAAGGGAAGGGTCTTTCCTTCTGCCGCTGAGACCCCAACGTCGCCCCAAATCTGCCACTTTCCGTGGCCGCATTATCACCAGTGGCGCCGAGCGGTCAGTCCTGCTGGCCGTTTTTCCCGCGCTTTTTGATCCCTTCTCCAATTCTTTCCCTCCACCCTTCCCACTAACACCTCTGGATGGGTGTCCATTGTAGTTCTGGAATGCCCCCGACCCCAATCGATGTCGGGGCAAGGGGGGCATTTTTCCCAGCAATTCTTGCACCTCGGCCATGTGCGGCTTTAGCGTCCCGGGCCAGTTGGCGCAGGCAGAAGGCGATTCTCTCCGAGGCATTGAAAACCAGTCTAGCGTGCGCTAAACGGTGCCTCCTCTCTGTTCCGGCCACGGGCCTGGATTGGTCGAGCGAGTGTGGGAAACACCAACTTGTCGAAAACTCACATCACCGCAGAGCCAAGGACGGGTATAAATAGAGAGCCGCAATGGGCTGGAAGGGGACTTGGGGTAAGGCCAAGGAGAGCTGATCCACGCCGTTCTGGCTAACCGCTCTTCTGCTGCAGGCGAACGAATGGCTCCGACTCCAGGCAACAGTTGCTTCTTCCGTGTGGAGGATGAGAAACTGCTGGTGAAGGAAAAGAATAAGGTAACTCAACGCGCCAGTCCTCAATTTTGGGGTCTCCAAGCGGTGGTAAAAATCTGGCTCCCTTGCAAGCCTCTTGGTGGGCTCTCAGCGGGGAGGGGGGGAAGAGCCCTGATTCACACGTGCAGTTTTTGAACCCGGGGATGTGGGAGAATTGGAGGAAGAGGGTAGGACAGAAAATGCCAGGGAGGAAGGAAACGAGGCTTCCGCGAGCGGATGTCGCAGAGGGCTGGGTCCAGTTGGGGCTGTCTTGAGTGCGAGGTTTGCCAAGTAGAGCCATAGAAATGGGAGGCGCCTCAGAGGTCATCCAGTCCAACCCCTGCTCAGATGACATTTCAGACTGCTGGCTAGCTGCCCTCTGTGGAAGGCCTCCACCAAAAAAGACGGGTCTGAACTTGACCCAGATCATTGGAAAGGTCATCCAAGCCAATCCCCTTGCGGGAAGACAGTTTTTCTAAAGGGTGGAAAGGTTCTTTCCAGGCTCCCCCAAAGCCTCACAACCAGTGCTTCCTAAATTTTATGTTTGGCTTGAAGTTTTAATCTTTCTTTCTTTCTTTCTTTCTTTCTTTCTTTCTTTCTTTCTTTCTTTCTTTCT